CCTCTCCTCAGAACAACTGCTGACTATCATGCAGCACAGTACAAGCATGGGTGACGCATATTCCACCATGCGTATTTCCGTTACAACAATTGACGGACATACGGGTTTGTTACTGTTACAACAGGCCTCCGATGATCACATCGTGCAAAAACGCTATGAATGTTTCTCAGTTTGTTACCATTATAACAGGACTCCGATGATCACATCGTGCAAAAGCCTATGAATGTTTCTTGGTTTGTTACTGTTAAAACAGGTCTCTGATGATCGCATCGCGCAAAAAGGCCACGAATGTTTCTCATTTTATTACCGTTAGAACAGGCCTCCGATGATCACATCGTGCAAAAGCCTATGAATGTTTCTCGGTTTGTTACTGTTAAAACAGGTCTCTGATGATCACATCGTGCAAAACGGCTATCAATGGTACTGAAGGATTTCTCCGGCTCATGAGTATTCAAATCAAATCAACACGCTACCCAACTCAAAGGAGGGTCATATTAGGATATTAGCCGGACCAAATGCTAGCAACTTTTGGAAGCTTTCCTAAGGCGTCGAGCCCAGTCAAAATGTCTTCGTTGGTTAACTCTGGCCGCATAATGGGCAATGACGTTGCAACATCGGACGCGTGGCGACGCCAGTCCGCTCCCAATGCCGGGCTCTCCCCGAGGCCAGACACAAGGAGTTGCAGCCACACCGGATAGCGAAGACGCTGGAAATCACATCAGTGAGGCAACAGCCACACGAGACAGCTCCTCCGGGTTTTGTACACAATAAACCCTCCTCCGGATGGATTCCAGAATTATGCCCTTCTTATTGTGTTCTTCCTTGGAGATTTCAACAGGGCGTAATTCGACGGTGACACACGTCAGATGTCATCGTTATAACACTAGCGACGCTGAACTCGTCGTTATAACACACCAGCTTCCCTGTCGCAGTGGTGACAACTGTTGAGGAAGCTGCAAATCACTCGCTAGTGCCGTCGGCCTCGTCTGGCCTGACTGGAGTCTGGTGTGGAGGCCCTGATAAGTTGGATTTCCGTTAATATTTCTATTGCTTGTGCCTACCGAGGAGATATTATAGGAGTTAAGGTTAAGACGATTAACCCTAACAGTTAAAATCATTCAGGCCCTGGTTACTTGGAAGATAGGAGAAA